ATTGTGGTCACAGGGGATGGAGGTTAGGTCCCAAAGGCTGCTGGGCCAGAGGCCTGCTATACCATTGCTGCCAGGAAACAACAGAAGCTGTCTGGGGTTCCAGATTTGGGACTCTCTTACCCAAATCTTTCCACCGTAATAGAAAGGCATAGGGCAGGGAAAGAGGATTCTTAGGAAAATATTCTCATCCTGCCCAGCCCAGGCAGCACACCTAGGGAGGGTCATAGTTTGTTAGGGGTGTGTGTGTGTGTAAGCTATTATCATCCTATAGCCTCAGAGCCTACCAGGGTTAAGAGCAAGGGCATAACCCAAGATCCAGTGTTACACTGACACACCCTTGACCCTGACCATCATCTCAAGCCTGCCCTCCAGGTGAGCAGTATCAGACACTCTAGCTGGATCCCTGGGCCAAGTAAAGTAGCATAGGGTACACAGCCCTCCCAACTGAGCAGACACGGGGGTCAGGAAAGCAGGAGGAAGGACAAGAGGGCTAGGTGAGAGGGCAGAGGGAGATCCTAAATCCTCCTAAAGCCAGTTTTAGTCAGGACTCATCCAGTGTGCCCTCCTCCTGGCTTGGTTAGAGAGAGGACTGCTGAGGTCCACTGCGGCAGATGCCAATAATACTTCAGCATCACCATGCTGCCCAGTGTCCATCGCTGCCCAGCTGTCCCGACTGCCCGACAGATCCTAGCAGAGACTCTGTGGAGTCCCAGAGATGACAAATCTGAACACAACACCTGCAACTTCCCCCAGCCCCAGACTGACCCTACACATCCAGCTCAGGCCGCCGACTCTCCTGCTATTCACAATGTGTGATACCCCTGCTGTAAACATTGTCTCTCTCTCACACACACACCACACCACCTGCCATATGTATCCCACAATCCAGATACTGACTGCTGCACACACGTGCGTGTGTACACATCCTACTGCACACATAGCCCATAGTACACGCCACCTGCTTACACATGCCTCTCCCCCACTGCCTGAGGCACACACAGGCACAGACCCTGCTACACCACTCCTTTTGTATGACGTGCATTCCTGGCATATACAACACTTCTCACACGCTCACACTGCTGTAAAGCACATTATCTGCTATGTCCATGAAACGACCAAAAAGTAAGCCCCTGAGCCTGGCCCCCAGGACACGTCAGAAATGGCCTATTCAGCTCACGGGTTCTTTCCCCTTCTTCCTTTGGGCATTCTGTGTCCCTTTCAGAACCTACCCAGTTACCAAGGCTCCACCCACACCTTTGGCTGTCCAGCCTCCACCATGGTTCTGTCTGGCCTGGACTCTGCAACCCCTGGGAACTCTAAGACCTCCAAACTGAGCTCAACGCCCTCACTATCCACCCTACCCCCCACCTCCGAAGGGAAAGCCCAGAATCAAGGCCCAACTCCCCTCCCCCACCCCTCTCCTCCCTCGTGAGAGAAAATGTCAGATTCCCTGTCTCAGTGGCGGCAGCGGGCGGGTTGGAGGGGGAATGATTCAGCCACCGCCTCAAGAGTGTGGAGCGAGAAGAGCTTTTCCTGCCATTACCCGGCGAGGGAGAGGCTGGCGCGCTAATGGCTTCAATTACCACTCAGACAGGAACGCTGGGCGGCAGGCCCTGGGACTCGTCACAGTCCAGGACAGGACAGGCCCACCCCCCGCCAGCTTGTGCTGGACACCCCACCTTGTACCCTGACAGGGACACTGGCACACAGGCTGGCCATCCCAGGACAGTGGGCTAAGGGCTCACACAGCCACACCAAGAATAAACAGTCTTGTTCCAGTAGTGGTAGTCATGAGGGACCTGGCATGACTGTGGCCTGTGCTGGGCCTGGGGTGGAATGAGGCAAGGGCAGAGGGTCCCCAAGGAAGCATAATGCCGGGGTTCCACTTTTAAGATACGCTGATCCTGTACCTGAACCAGGCTCCCCAGGCATTCTCCAGTCACTCTGAGAGCACCTATCTCTTGAGGAGCAGACTTACACCCTTGTGTGTTTGGAGGGCTACATGCTGTGTGAGACATGGGTAAGGGGTTCAAGCATCATTTCCCAGGCCCCAAACTAAGTTCATCTCCTCACTACTAAGCCTCTGTGGTAGCCTCACAAAAATGGCACTGGCTCTCCTCTGGAGTCACCCCAGTGCTTCAAAAAAGCTGTCTTTTTGCCCCTTTCCTACAAGTACCCCAGCTTTCCTGCCCTCCCCCCAGGAAGGAGGATGGGGAGGAATGGGGCAAGGTTGATCTAGAATGCCTCTCTGAGGTCCCAAATGCCCTGACATTCCTTTCTGCCAAGCCTTAAGCTAGTCAAGGTTACAAAGACCAATAGGTCAGCATTTTGTCTTGCTGGTGCAGAGTTTCAGGAGCAGGAGGGGCCCATGAGGCTCACAGCTCCACCACTCTATTGTAGCAGAGACCCGTCCAGCACTTCACCAGACACCTCCCAGTCTCCAGACGCACAAACATGCGTTCAAGCCCAGGACTGGGGATGAAAGTATGTGTCTAGTACTGGGTTCCATCCCCAACACCACATAAAAATGAATAATCCCTAATCCACAAGAAGAAACTCTTGAACAAGAAGGCTGTTCCTAATGGCACAGTGTGAGTTCTCCTCCCCAGGCCTTGAGAGACCTTGTAAAGCATGGAGCTGCCAGGGCAGGGGGGACTCTGGGAGGAGTTACTTTCCCTTCTCACAAGGAGCCTGCTCCGCAGCCTGGGGGCCCCAGAAGATGCCCATCAGGACAGGGGACACAGTGCTCATCTCTTAGATGCCACTCAAATGCTAGGCAGGGCACACGGCTCTCTACAGTGGCAGAGTTTGGGGCAGAAATACTTTTTCCTGGGTCACAAAGCGGAGAAATGGAGGCCAAAAATGACAGGAAGGAACCTCAATACCAATGGATTTATCCTAGTGCTGACTGTCTGGGTTCTTGTTCCCCAAATGGAATGAAGAGTGGGACTAACACAACCCAGATGACGCCAATCGGAAGCAGCTCGGGTGTCTAAGCTTCAGAATGTACAACTCCCAACTCCATTCACACTGACATCCTGGGATGCACTTTACATTGTAGGCAAAGCTCCACACTAGCTTGGAAGTGGGTACTGTATCCTGGTCCAAGATTGAACAAATGAGACTCAAAAGCAGTTACCAGTCCAGGGCTCCTGTCTTAACCATTGTCGTCTAGGGCCCCTCTGCAGGAGAGGGTCTGACACAGCTCTGTCAGAACCCATTGACTCACACAAGACACACAGATGCAAGAATTACTGAATGGATGCATGTGTGAACACATAAAGCCAAAGCGTAAAAATGGCCAATGTGAAAAGATGTTCAACTGCTCTTGTAATCAAAGAAATGCAAATTAAATTGAGATGCCATTTTTTGCCTATTAACTTGGCAAAGATTTTTTTTAATGGTAATTTCCACTGCTGGTGAAGATGTGCAGGGAAGAGGCCCTCTTACGCTCTCCCTGGTAAGGATATTCACTGATAAAATCTTCTAAAAATATTGAAAGCTTAAAAAAATGCACGCGCCCTTTGACTTAGCAATTCTACTCCATGAACCTAGAATACGGAAATGATCAGCAAAGTGACATTATCTTCAAGGACACCTAGGGGCACCTTACTTATAAAGGCTGAAAGCTGAGAACATATGCACCCAACAAAAAGGGAACAGCTAAATAAATTAGGGTGCTTCCACGTGACAGCTTATCCACAGCCATTAAAAACAACGATGCAGAAGAGTATTTAATGGCAAGGAAAATGTTTACAGTGTATATATGCTTTTAGGCACTAGCTGGGGAGATGGCTCAGTAAAGTACCTGCTGAGCAAGCATGAAGACTTGAGTTCAGTTTCCTAGCTCTTACAGTTTCTGTGTAAGAAGCTAGGCATTGCAATTGAGTACATGGAAGGGCAGGTAGAGCTAAGCGGATTCCTAGAGCTCCCCTGCCAGTGAGGCTAGCCAAAGAGGTAATTTTCAGGTTCAGTGAGGGAGCCTGACAGAAAAGTCCTGAGCTTGCCCTTTAGCATGGAAAAAAAATCAAAACAAAAGTCTAAAGTCATGGAACAGTGATCACTAGTCTGTTTATATATATATTAGTACAAATATATATATATATATACATACATACAAATTATACAAACAGAAAATGTGCCACCGAGAAATAACCAATAGCAGTAGAAGAAGTAGGACAGAAAGAGATCGTTATTTCTCCCTATGCACTATCCCATACTTCTCAATTTTTTAACAGTGAACAGATATTGGTATTGCATTTAAAAAAGAAAGCAACAATCGATGCGGTATTTTGAAAATGCACATTCAGATTCATGTATCCACTGTGGTTAAGGTTTAATCATGTCACTTCCCACCCTATTTGTGGCTTTCTATGTCCTTAGAAAGGGTTCGTTTCTCAGCCCGATCCCCAGACTCACTGAATTACTCTCCCCTCCTCTTCGTGTTCTCCAGCTCTCCACCTGCCACTTGAAAAGCCTCAAATTGACCACTCAGAGTTCTGGAAGCTTTGTTTCCCCTTACACCCTGGGCCTTGGCAAAGGCCGGGAAGCCAAGTGTCCCCATTCCTTACAGAATTTACTGGACATGTATCAAGTGACATTCTGAACTTCATGGCAGTTCAAGGAAAGCTTGTGAGTGAATGAATGAATGAATGAATGAGCCACCAAATGAGAAAAGACACTAAAATCCACATATAGAGCCTAGCTCCTTGATCTGGGCACCAGGAATACACTGACATCAACTGCCAGGCTTCACTGCCACTGTCACATAACCCCAGGGCCACACAGCTGCAGCACCACACCTCCAGTGTGACCCAGACCCAATGGCCCGGCTCAGCGGGAGGTCACAAAGCCAGCAAGCATACAGCTGGCTTCAACACAAACTAACTAGTGAGCCAGGCTTGTTTAGCACTAACTCTCACCCGCCTCCGATGCCATCCAGGTGGGCTTCCCCACCTCAGTGCGCATGGCCACCATGCCGTGACCCTCTCAGCACATACCTTCAAGCACTGAGAGCTTGGCACTCGTGTTGATCTCGCCTAGACTGTTGGTGGCTGTGCACTCATAGATGGCTTCATCTCGCTGCACCCGTAATGGCTGGATCCTCAGCACTGACCCTGCTCCATCATCAAACTCGATTACCTGTCACAGGACAGATGTGGTCACACCTGTTAAAGGCGTGGGGATCTGCTAGAGCCAGGTTCCCTCAAATCCCCAAAAGGCCCCCCGAGGGAGACGAAGAGGAACAAGAGAATGACCACACAGAGAACAGGCCAACCCTAAAGCCTGCCCATCCTCCCAGCCAGCCAAGGACAAACCTCAAAGCGCTGGGAGCTGACTTTCTTCCCCTTCTTCATCCATGTGATTCGAGGCTTGGGTTCCCCTGTGGCTTGGCACACGAAGGAGGCCACCCCTCCCGACAGCCCAGTCTGGTCCTCTGGGACCTTAACAAAGACAGGTTTGCCTGGAAGAGACAGAGACGCTAAATCATGATGGCATGGTCACATCAGGAATGATCCAACACTGCAGGTAGCAGCCCTTGGGGGCGAGGGAAAACAGTAGTAATAACTAACTTTTATATAGTACTTAATAAGTGCCGGGCACTGTTCAAAGAGCTGAACCCTTAAGTCTTTGAAGAGAGGAGGTGGGTGCTTTAATTACTGTTTACAGAGAAAAGCCAAGGTGTAGGGAGGTCAAGGTATTTGTCCAATGTGACACAGCTGGCAAAGACCAGAGTCTGGGGTGGGGGGTGGGGGACCCTCCATGTGCTCCATGTGTCTCCTGCTTCTGATTATTCTAAGCTCCAGGAAAAACAAAATGCATTGGGGAACTTCTTTCTGGGAAGAGCCCCAGACTCCCCTAGAGACTTCCCAGCAACCAACCCTAAGCCTTAGGACCCCAGGACTCCTCCTTCCCCTCACCCGACATTCCAACGGCCCCAAAGGCCTGGACATTCCAGCTCCAGACAGGCTCTGGATGGCTTCCCAGAGGGATGCTTTCCTCCAACTGCCCTCCCACCCCTGCCCCCACTGGCTTGGCAACTGCCCTCCCACAGCATGGGCAGCTCCTGAGTTCCTACTCCATAGGAGGGGCTCAGACAAGGTCCTGCTCACCCTGGTTTACATGCCAAGGCTGACTCACCGCCTCTTAATCCTTCAAGTCCCACCACACAGGGTTGAAAGTCCCAAGAAACCGGGCTCATTGAGACGTAGCAATGTCTCGTTAATAGCGACAGTGGATCCATTTCCTATTAATCTAGCCACTGAACAGTTCCTGGAAAGCTAGTGCCCTGGGAACTGACCCTTCAGATTACCTGCTTGGTGCCGGGAGCTCAAGCCCAGGGTGGGCCCTGGCAGAAAAGCACCCACTCTGCGCTGTATCTCACTTCCTCTTATCATCACTGCTTCTACTTTGCAGGCTGAGGGACCGAGGCACGTTTCCAAAGTCACAGCCAGTGAGTGGGGACCAAGACACCAGGGTTCATAGGAGACTATTGGGGGCCTTCTCAGAGTGGTGGCAAAAGCCAGACCAAAGAAGTGGAGGCATGACCCAAGTGAAGGGCAGGTGCAGAAGGCTGTGAGTGGCAACCAGGTGGCATGCAACACCCACAGATGCCAGAAGGGGGAGTCCCATCTTCTAGAACTGGAGCTACCAGTGGCTGTGAACTGCCTGATGTGGGGCTGCAAACCGACCCCAGGTCTCTACAAGATCACTTACAGCAAGCACTCAATTCCTGAGACAGCTCTCTAGCACCAGTTCCTGTTTTGTTTGTTTGTCCTAGGCTATGAATGATGACGTGTAAGTGTCAGGCCGTCACCAAGGACAGCCAATCACTTGTTCTTAACACCAGCCCTTCAGGTCAGGAGGTATATTATCACCCCCATTTTAGAGACAGGGAAACAGACGCAGGGGGTCAAAGGACCAACACCAATGAGTCACAGTGTTTTGGGGGCACAGCCAGGGTTCATCCCACATTATAAATCTGGAGCTCATTTTAAAAACCTGTGCCCTCCCCAGGAAGGAGAACTCGGGACCCACAAATCTGCTCCTGGGGACTAGGTCGAGCAACACTGAGAGCCCAGTGCATGGGCCAGAAGCCATGCAGATGACCCGAGTTCTGAATTCTTGTCTGTCTCCACCACCCGAAGCTGCCTTTGGAGAGAGGGTTGGGTCTTCCCTAGTTTGTAGAATGTGCAGAGCCTGTCACTGTTAAAAGGACCTGTCTGACAGGACCCTCCCTCTCCAGGGTCCACTGAGGCCACCTCTCATCCCCCACCCCACGGTATCTCCCAGTTCCCCATTGTGCACTGCCATCTCCCTAGAGCGCCATTTTCCCTCCATAGGACAACTGGCTGGCTGAACACACATGTCTTTGCCTGTGTCACATCCCCCCCCCTTTTTTTTCTATTCAGAAGCCAGAGAACAGCCTCCTCCTGATCAAATCTCTCCAAAGGCCTCCCACTGCTCTTTACAAAAAAAAAAGAGTAAACTCCTGTCACCCCAGACAAAGCCCTGCCAGGTCTGACCCAACCAGTCTCCCTGATGCTGGCTTTAGAGCCCAGAAGAAGAAGCATCGCTCCCTGCCGCCTCAGGGCCTTTGCATAAGCCGCACGTTCTGCTAAGAACCTCTGGGAGGACCCTTTACCCACTAACCCCCTAAGTCACCTCCTCAGAAGACCATCCCGTACCCCACACACCGCCCCACTAGCTTAGTCCACGGTTTTCATCTCTGCCTCTCACAGTGCACTCACCGTTTCAGCATGCATGTGAGGCTACAACTTTCCACCTTTTTGGCGTCTGATAGCTGCTTCCCAAACAGACCATAACCCTAGGCAGGGCAGATTTCCACATCTGTCCTGTTTCCTGCCCTGTCCCACTCACTATCTGACCCAGTTCCTGACACCCAGAGGTGCAAGACAGAGGAAGAAATTGACACAGGAAGGAGTGTGAGGAGTAGGTAGAGACTGGGGCCCCTCTCACACACACCTTCCCTGGAGGCAGGAGAGAAACTCAGGGAATAAGTGCCCCTCTAGGTCCTGCCTCAACGTGTCCACATCGAAACCAGTGACTAGAACCTGAAGAACCAGAAAGACTAGGAGTATGCTGGGATGGGGCGGGGTGGGGTGGGGAGGGGCCTCCAGGGCCAAACAAAGAGCAGAGAGGCTGGGCAGGAGAGCCAGGTAGATGAAGAGCAGCCAGCAGGAACAGGCCTGGGAGCTGTGTGGAGACTGGACTGTGCCCAAGGCCGGGGGCCATCAGGGAGGTGGGACTCCTCCCCCTCGGAGGCTGGACAAGCGCCAGGGTGCTGCCCAGGATCAGACAGGCAGTTCTGCTCCAGCCCCTTCTATGGCCAGGTTTTGTTTTGCTCCCTACCAAGGAGCCCTCACAGAGCCCCAGGGCCACCCACCCCTTCCTCATTCCAGAGCCCTAGGTGGTCCTGGGTCATCGGTTCCTCAGAAGACCTTCCCTGGGAGCTCAGTCACTCGTCTCTACATGGTCTCCCCAATTTTGCTCCTGCTAGCCTTTTTCAACAAGTATCTTGTACTCATTTGGCAGAGGTCAAGCACTACCCTGAGTATTTAGCTTGGGTCCTGGTGCACTTACCCACCATCTGGGCCTGCCTGACTGCACCCCACATCTCTCATCAGCCCCTCTTCCAGACAGTGGAAGCCTGCCCACATCACACTGTCAGTCGGGATGCCAGGCAGACAGGCAGGCAAAACCTGTGACCATTCAGCTGGTGCCCAGTCTAAACAGAATGTTTTTTTGTTGTACACCAAAAAAACAAAAATGCACTGTGTGTGTGTGTGTGCGTGCGTGCTCGCACGTCCTCACTCGCATATGTGAACGCATGCACACATGTGCTTAGTGCACATTGGTGAGTCAGTGCTCTCCTTCTACTACGGGGACTCCAGAGACTGAAGGGAATTCTGGCCTGGCCTTTACTTACTGAGCCATTCTGTTGGTCTGTGAACAACACTTCTGAGACCCGAAAACGGGGTGCCATCTGAACACACTAGAAGGAGCTTTGTGTCACAGTTGCCTGCTGGGTCACCCTGCCCCGTGGGCAGCTACTTACAATGGGATACCCTGGGACGGTCTTTACATGTCAGCAGCTGACCCTGCAGATGAGAGACCGTGACCAAAGAAAGGAGCTGGCCTGGGCTAGAGGAAGCACACCCCCTGGAGAGGCTGCAGGCATGAACCCTAGAGAGAGCTAAACTGGGCCACCTCCAGGGCTCCTCCACAGGGAGACTGGCTGCTGTAGTGTGCCTCCCCTGAGGGGCACACAGACACAGGCACAGGAACAGCCCTGCCCGCAGGAGAAGCGCGCGGCAGGAAGGACGGTGAGGGCAGGGGCGCTGCTGGGGAGGTGATTTCCCACGGCCTGAGTGGCTGGCGAGCTGGGGACTCATTAATGAGCTCCTGTGACTGCTTCTGGCAACCTTCCCCAGCCCAGTCCACTCAAGGGCAATCCTAGCTCCAGGAGGCACTCCAACAGGGGGAGCACTTAATAGGTGCCAGGTGCCTTGCCCACGTGACCTCCGTTAACCTTTACAGGTAGGAGTGATTACTCCTGTTGTGCAAGAGGAAAACAGGCTAAGAGAAAGCACTTGTGCCGGAAGCTCCAAGAGGGCTGGGCCTAGACAGGCCACCCATAAGCACAAGGGAAAGGCCCTGCCATTGTTCCAGGGGCTCTGGAGGAGAAACGTGGCTACTCCTCGAGGCTCCTGCTCACCCATACCAACATCTACCGCAAACCGCCTACTCCTTCAGCTACCAGACACCTTGCTGAACTCCAATGACTTGCAAATAACTTCATAACCAGGACCCAACCTGCACCTTGGGTTGGGGTCCTACAACTGTCCCTCACTGTCTGAAGGTCTTGCTCTGGCTTTCTCCTAAGCTCAGTCTCATTCCTTTGTTGGGCAATACTCAGCATTAGCAAATGCCCACTCATCTTCAGGGGCCCTCTATTCCAGGAACTCTCCAAAGGTATTCATGCCACTGCCTGTGCCAGCACTGCCCCAGCCTGCTCCTGCTCTTCTCTTAGCTCACAGACTTGTGCCCAGGTCAATGGGTTCTGTCTTGTGACATGTCCAAGTGGATTCTTTCTATCCAAGCACCTAACACACAAGAGACCAGCAGGAACCTCTACCTGAGTGCTGGACCAAGACCGTCTCTATCCCCATAGCCATATACCTTGGCCCCATCAAGAAAGCACAGAACCCTGGGTTGGAGGGATGCTGAGTGAGGTTCCAGAAGTGTGCGTCCAGGTTTCCACCAGAGCTGACTAGGCACTGATGCTAGGCCTCCAGGCTAACTCTTGGCAGCTGCTTCTCTACCCTGTTTCTCTCCACTCCCCTCTGAGGCCAGGGCCCCCATTCATTTGTCTCGTTAAGAAGCCTATAGAAACACATTTGTCCGCTCTGCGCTTCACTGCTCTGGTCGTCAATTCTCCGGGGGCACCCGCCCTGCCTTCTGCAGCAGCCCTGTCTGTGTCTGGCTGCTTGCCCCTAGTGAGAAGTCTTGGAAGTTCAGTCCAAGCCTGGCCAGGGTGGGGAGAGATTCAAAAGTGAGTGTAATTTAACAGCAGGCTGGGAGGCAGACCCTGACCCCTGCAGCCGGCTCACCACGGCTCCTGACTGCTCTATGGCTCTTGGCCTGACATAGTGCTCAAGGAGCACCTGGAGGGCCACCCTTGGCAGAGGCTTCTTCACCTGGTTTCCACCTCCAAGCACCTGCTTAGTCTCTATGACTAAAATTACTAAGGAACCAGCAGGAACATTCCTGGATCTACCCTAAAACAATTCCACCTCACTCCTCCTGATTCCGATAGAGGTCAGGCCTGCTCCAACTCTTTTTTCTTATTCACCACCTCCTCCAGGGCCTGAGCTGGAAATGTCTAAACTCCCAAGACTCCCAGCCTGCCAGGGCAGACAGACCTAGGGCAAAGTGCCACCACAGCATGTTATGGAGTGCAGAGGACCAGGGCATGCCCCACGCTGCTATAGGAAATAGTGACAGCTGAGTCAGAGCTGGTCAGAGTAGGGGAAATGCCTCACCCCCCAACTCTTTGTTTTTGGAGACAGAGTGTCATGTAGCCCAGGCTCGTCTTCAATTTCCTACATAGCCCAGAAAATCTAGAACTCCTAATCCTCCTGCCTCCACACCTCAAAAGTACTAGGATTACAGGCCTGTGTTACCACACCTGACAGGGAAAGAGTGTTTCAAGCAGAGGAAACAAAGAATGAAGAAAGCCTGGACACAGAGAGCTATGTGCGGCTGAGAGGAGAGAGCATGGCAGGTTCCGGTGAGAGGCACTGAAGGGTAGGTCAGCACACAGTAAGATGCTAACCCTGAGCCTAAAGGCAGCGGGAGAAGGGAAGCTGGAGGGGAGTTCAAACTGAGCACCTTGACGCAACCCGAGTCTGGCTACGGAATACAGAACGGGTTAGGAGGGCAGGGCTGGAGGCAGGGAAGACAGCAGAAGGCTGATACAGGCCCGGCAGAAGCTGAAGGAGGCTTGGCAGAAGGTGGTGGGGAAAGTAAGTGGATGCATTCCAAAGACACTCAGAAGGCAGAGGCCACAGAACTCGGAGATGGATTACATGTGCGATAACAGGGCGGGAGGGAGAGAGGGAGAGCAGGAGGGAGGGAGGGCAGGAGGGAGGGAGAGGGCAGGAGCTGGGAGGTTCCTGACTTGGTGACCAGGTGGGTGGTAATGCCAGTCATAGAGAGAAAACTGGAGGCAAACAGGAGGGTGGGGCCGAGGGATGCAGGCTGGGGCGTGCTGGGTGAGAGGCAGGAAGGAGAAGCTATTCTCCTAGGCCACACTTTCTCAACTCAGTATGTCCTCCCCAGCTGTTCGGGGCCCTGAGACTATCTGAGGATGGTGGGAAGAAGAGTGACAACAGTTCTTCGATATCCAAGGGCCACTAACTACACCAGGCCGGTGCTCTCTGTCTTGTCAACCTAGGGTGTGACTGCTACTCCAGTCTGTCCCTGTAGCTCCAAGTTCTCACTCGTCAGCACCAGTGAAGCCTGAGAACCACCCATCCCCCTCCCTGAAGTCCTCCACCTGACTACTCCTCTGGACCCCTAGCACCCTGGCTACTCTCCAAAGGACTAGGAACTCTCCCTCCCATTCTACCCTACCCAGGACAAAGGGAGGGGTGCTCCAGGGCCACCCCCTTCTATGACTGGCTCCTGAATTATTAATGAGCATTAAGAGAGACAGCCCTGGTGGAATAAGGCTCTTGTCTAGAGACCTGGAGAGGATAGAGGGATCCCCATGGCCTGCTATCCTGGGGCCTGACCCCTGGACTGCCTCTGTGTTCAGGACAGGCTGGGAATAGCCCCTTCCCCCCAAGGGACCTCAGTTCCGACCTTGCCCCTCCCCCCAACCTGCGGATTGGCTAAGCCTGTCCTGTGCTCCGCCTCCCACCAGTAACCAAGCAGTGGTAACCATGGTGACAGGGCGGGCTATGGCCAGTCTTGTGCCAGGCAGGGGGAAGGGCAGCAGCAGGGAAGAGACCAAAGTTCAAAGTTGGACTTGGGTAGGGGACAAATTGTGCCCCAGCACACAAACACTCGTTTTATTCCCCACTCCCCCTCTCCTCCATACAAGCCATGTAACAACCTTCCCCATTTTCCAGGGACTGCAGGCCTAGCTCAGGGAAGGATGGCCTTTGCCTTGAAGGTTCCCAGGGAAAGGAAAGGATCCAGGTAAGTCAGCTTGAGCACTCCCTGGACCTGTGGATACATCTGGGACTGTACTCATGCTTCCTTCTATAGGGGCCTTCCACAGAGGTCTGCAACGTGGACAAAGCACATGCCACACAATTCACACAAAGATCACACAAATCCAAGACGTTGCTCCCCGATTCCATAAAATACTTAGACATGCACGGCTCTGCAGAGCCCAAAGGATATCCAGGTGCTCCACGGGAAGGAGGAGGAAGCAGGTACTCCTTAGAGGAGCTTTCCAAGTGGGGTCTCTAGGACAGAAGGACTAGAGGTAGCTCTCTGGTCAACCTGTTTCTTTTTCCTAGGATCCAGTCCTGTATTCCATCCTAGAGACCTCCTAGAAGGTACGTCACTTTCTATCCTGGTCTATCAGTATGAGGAGGAGTCAGACTTACTGTCACCATGAGCACCTGCCATCAAACCAAGCATCACCAGTGCAGGCACAAGGGGCACCATCATCCTCCCTGGGGTTGGCTCTGGGGCCATCCAGGGTTCTAACTCCACAGTCAGCCACAGCCCAAGACAATCCACCTGTAAGGGAGAGAAGGGCAGAGCCAATTAGCTGGTATCCACTTGTGTCCTTACTACCCATGCTGCCTCCCGGCCCCTACTCATCCTCACTGCCCATTCAGAGCTGACTTTGGCAGTCCCAGATTGGACTGTACAATGGCTACCCAAGCTCCTTCGCTGAGGGTCAACCCATCCTACAGAAAGAGTGCAATGCAGAGGCCCTCAGGGCATTCTCTAAACCCCAGGAAGAGGAACACAGTATAGACGGAGATGTGCACTAAGTTCTCCATCAACATAGAGCTAGTTAGAAACCAGCACAGGGGCAGTCCATTCCAGATATTGAGTTTCCAACTGACACCATTAAGGGATGGGAACAGGGAAATGGAGTCAAAGACACACACAGGTTGGGACTCAAAAACAAGACAGAGGCAGGAACAGTAAGCAGCTAGGTAGAGTTGTATAGTCCAGGGCCATCCCAGACCATGGGGCATCCTGACGCTCTTCCTTGGGAAGCAAGGGGCCAGACCCTAACATACTCAGCACAGGTCCCAGAACACAGACTCAGCAGCAGTTGGTTCCACATTATCAAAGGCTCACAGCCAAAGCCAAAACCCGTCAGGGCTCGCCAGGATTGCTCTCTACAAGTTACAGATGCCCTGCCTGGCCACCCTCAACCAACCCAATTCCCATGGCACCTTCCTACCCCAAAGACCATCTGTAAGGAGGCTTCAGTGGCAGAGAACTGGAATGCTAGACCCTAAGATTCAACATCCATGCTTCCTCCCTCTTCCCTTGCTCCAGGTGTGCAATGCAGATGAGGGATGGCTGTGTTTGGAGCCAGCTGAAACCTTCAAGAGCCTGCTCGCTCACTCACTCTCCTGTCAACATGCTTCTTCCTCTCTGCAGCCACCCGTTAAAGACTTCCAGTGGCTACACTGTGTACTGGAGACACCTAACCCCAGGGGTGAGCTTCAAAGGTCTCTTTTCCATGTTCCTTGCCTGGGGACTTCATGTGACATGTAGCGGTGCCCACACTGCCACATACAGGGCACTGGCACATGGCCACGCCTCCACAGCGGCCACACCTTGGGGCCCCACAGTGCTAAGAGAATTGAAGTTGAGAGGACAGGGGAACGGAAGGGATGGAGCACAAACGTGGTTCTGCTCCTTCCTGGAACTTGAACCCTTATTTGAACTTAGCACAGTCAAAGATCATGAGGTGAATGAATAAGCAGCAGGTGAGCAAAGGTGGAGGGAGCAGGTGGCCCTGGGACGTGAGGTGGGTGCTAGAGACACGGGGAAGGGAGATGTTTCCTGTCCTGGGAGCTCACTCGAGCCGAAGACATAGGCAGACGTCATAAAGCTAAAGGACATGGTGTGCTGTCCAGAACTACTTATTCCAGGCTGTGGGCTCTGCTGAGTGATCACAGAGCTGAGGAGGTTCAGCCTACAATGAGGCCACACTCTGCCATGTCTGGATGGGGGTCCTATTTGGTTAAGGCCCTACCTGGGCTTGCTCATCACAGCACCATGGTTATCTCAGTGGGGCCATCAAGACATCAGGTGGTGAACTGCCTGACCAGGTTGCAATGGGGACATGGTTCTCAGACAGGACTCTAGCTTTGGTACAGATAGCCAGGGTACTATTCAGAGGTGTGTCACAACATAGGTCAGACAGCGTGGCCTAGGCAGGTCTCGTGGGAAAGACATCACAAAGTCAGAGAGCTTAACTTCCATGCTCAACAATTCCAGGCACAGCTGGGCGTTGGTGGCACACGCCTTTAATCCCAGCACTCGGGAGGCAGAGGCAGGCGGATCTCTGTGAGTTCGAGGCCAGCCTGGTCTACAGAGCGAATTCCAGGACAGCCTCCAAAGCCACAGAGAAACCCTGTCTCGAAAAACCAAAAAAAACCAAAACAAAACAATTCCAGGCACATACTCCCCACCCCCCAATGCAGCAGATGCCATATGGACTCAATCTTCAGTACAAGTATCCCGGGGGCACATCTCCCCAGTATGGACATAAAGAAATGAAACAGAATAGATGTTACAAGGTACAAAACTGCACAGCACAGTCGTTTCAGGACAGAACTCCGCAGTACAATTGCAGAGCCTCAATCCCCTATAGCTGCCTTGGGACAGCAATCACAGCATGGCTAACTCCCAGGTGCAGACATCCTGTGGGTGTACACAGCGGCTATAGACATCTGTGGGTATAGCTGCCTGATAAGGACATCACAGGGATGTAACTACTCAGCACACTGTCACAGAGGTATAACTCTGCTACACATGGGGGTAGAGGTGTCAATATTAAATAAAGGGGAACAAGGCTCCACTCAATAAAGCCTTCATAGTGTCTCACTCCCAGAACAGGTGAGTGAAATTCTGGCCTCTGAACCCAATCCTCAGTGTAGCAAAGGCCAGTCAGTGGCTCTTACTTGGGGATTCAAGTGTGTTCAGAACATTTTGTTCAGCTCCACAGTGTAGGAAGAAGGGAGAAGCATTGAAAGTAGGGGCCTGAGCGATAGCTCAGAGTTAAGGGCACTGGCTTCCAGAAGACTCGATTCCCAGCACCCATATGGCAGTTCACAACTGTCTGTAACTTCACTTCCAAGGATCAAAGGTCCTCCTCTGGCCTCTATGGGAACCAGACACACACAGGTTTTACAGACATACGTGTAAGCAAAACACTCATACAGAGAAAAATGTTAAAACTTTTTCTTTCTTAAGTTGAAAACATAGATATTCCCTCCCAAGAGAGCTGCTCCCAGTGATTCCCAGACACAGGGACACAGAAGAGTCTAAATGCCAGGAGACCCCAGGGACATACATAAACATGGGCACCATCTCAGGGAACCACTTTGGCAACCAATGTCTTCCAAGCCAGGGTCCCTCCCTCTCAGCAGCTCCTGGTGTGAGCACATTGCTCCCACTCCTGAACTCTGGGCACAGTGCCTGCCCCTGGTGTCAGGCAGTCCAGGCTGCTCCCAGCTCCCAGGGCCTCTCCCTCATCAGAAGAGAGGTGAGCAGCTCTGAGTCCCAGGCCTGGGCTTGAGTCTAGATGCTGGCTGTGCCCACACCCTGGTCCCCAGGCCCCCTGCAGAACAAGTTTGCCTTGCTGGACTGCCACGGACCTTGTGCACCCACCTAAGACGGCAGTTCTCAGAAGAGACGCCCACTCCACCAACACGGATGGGTGAGCCCAAGCCTTGGACAATTCAGATAAAATCAAGGCCCAGACACTTGGGTGCTCAAGCTCATCTCTGAATTACACTGTGGGCCATTGGTTCTACCAAACTGACATACTTGGCCAGGAAAACAATTATGTGGCATATGATATTATTATAGGATATAATTGAGTGTAATTTTTCTACATTCAGAATGGCTTTGATATATCTTTTTTCTTTGCTACACCACTGTAAAGCTGCCAACTGCCCTTTCTTAGGAAGAAATGTCCTTTATTCTCAAATTTTGTCCTTGGTGCTAAAATGTCCTTTCTTGTATGAAGTGATGGGGACAGCAGATAGCAGTTGTTTTTTATATAATGTCCTTACTTGGCAAAATAAAAAACTTCTAACACCCTGTCTGGACCCAAGCACTTTTGGAAACTGAACTGTGTATGAAACCAAAGAGCCTGGGAATCGCTGCTCTGAGGAAAAAGGGACCAGCGGGCACAACATCAAGCCACAGGACTCACGTATGTGTATCATGGAAAATTCGTGTCATTTCCATGAGGTCCACCCTAACCATCCCTGCCAGGGCCAAAGAGGGCCCCCAAGAGACCATGTGACGCCAGGACCGAGGGGTTCCTGGATGGAAAACAGCTGGGATCATTCTCAAGGCCCCCTCATGAATATGCAAACACAGATTGATTTGTTTCCCGTGGGCATGAGTTACTATTCACAAATATTAATTAGTCTCCAAATACCACCTGTTCCTCTGGCCTGCCCCACTGCTCCTCTTCAGGCCACGACCCTGGCTCCCAGGAAACTGGAGACCAAACATGGGTATGGGCAGAAGGAGCATCCTGGGCTCCAGGGTGTGCTCGCCAAGGAGAGGCCAAGGCTTAAGCAACAAGATGCATGCTGGGCGGGGAGAGCCAAGAGCTGTTCATCTTTTAACCTGTGGCGGCAGCTAACCGAGCCCTTTTGTCATGTCCTGGACAGTTTACCGTGTGGTACTGCTGCAGCAGCCGCGGAGGCGGAAACAGGCCTTGTCACACTTGGGAAGGGAAAGCCTACATGTTTCCAACTCTCACCAAACCAACCACTGGATTATGAACAGAATAAATCACAGCCTCAGACTCGACCCTGGCCCAGAGGAGCTGGCTGCCAGGAAGGAGCCTGAGACGGCCTTACCTCCTCCAGCCAGGAGGCCAGAGTCCGTGTGAACAGCCAGGAACAACATTTCCTACCACTCTAGTATTGGGGATCCTCTAGCTACACTGAGGCCCCTTTTATAATCCTTAGCTTTTGACTCTCTAGGGAGTCAAAGGAGAAGCCAGGGGTGTCAAAATTTCCGAGAGTGGCAGCCAAGAACCTAACAGGGGCCTAGTTAAGAAACAAAAACTAAACAAAAATCAAAAAGGGCCAACATAGGTCCCTCTACAGCCACAACCCATAAGTCTTTAGATCTTTTCTTGGGGGTGTGAGGTGGGACCCATCAGATTAATATTCACCAACTCTGCTGCCTTGGGGCCTCTGTACCCAGTGTTGTCTCTACTGCAAAAGATGCCTTTCTCTTGCCCCAGATACTCACTCTGCTTCAGAACTGAGTTCAAGTGATCCACTATGTAAATCTTCCCCCAAATTACGCTCCCTACAATTCCAGGTTGTCCAGTTCAGTGAAACCACAAGAGTTGATACAAACCAGTGATTCTCAATCCAGGGTACCCTGCCCAGGACATGTGATAATTTTTGATTGTCCTAACAATTTTTGATTGTTAGGACTGGGGGTGGAGGTAGGGGTTACTAGCATCTAATGGGAAGAAACCTGGGATACTGTGAGATATCTTACAACATCAGGCTAGCCCCACAAAAAAGGGATCACCTTGTCTAAAAAGTTTACAGTACCAAGCCTCAGAATCCAGTCCCCCTTGGACTCGCTAACACCTTCAACCAAAGGCAGTCCCTGACATTCATATCAGTATCTCTTTCTACCCCCAAATTAGTTCAGCTTCCAGAAGCTGGGGGGGGAGGGCGTTGCCCTGTACACACCCTGTCTCCATCCTCCAGACATGTTATTTACATGTGCTCTCCCCAGAGCAGAAAGGGCTCCTTTTTCAGGGCCTCTTCTGGCAAGACTGGGCTTTTAGGCAGAGCAGACGATCACTTGAGGATGACAGAAGGAAGCAACAGTACCCTCATACACATCTCCCTACCTGGCCTTTCCCACCTGAGCCCTCCCCTGGGCCCCTCTGCATAACCTCACTGCCCATCTCACCAAGTGAGTATTCATGGCATCCTTGCTCCTCTCCATCTAGGCCAGACCCATTTCTCTTTTTTAAATTTTTATTTTTTTGTTACAATTGCAGGTGTGGTTATGTGGAGGTCAGAGGTCAACTTTGTGGCATCAATTCTCTGCTTCCACTTTTACCACCGGGTTCTGGGAATCGAACTCAGGCTGTCAGGAAGCAAACACATCTATCTTCCTGCTGAGCCACCTCACTGGCTCCAGATCAATCTGCCTTGGCCTCTTTGTTTAATCATCCATCTCGACCTGTTTGGAGAACAGGGTGATGAACATGAGGCCAAGAAGCTTCCAGAGAAAGGCCCACCAAGCTCACGGACAACTTGTCACCCAGGTCAACAAGTCCTTGAAGGCCCTTTCCTCATTCCAAACATCTAACTTGTCAGAAGTTTGACTTTCCCCCTCTTCCATCCCAACTACCCTTCACCCCTCCAAGGGCTTCCTGCAGTAAGTCACCCCCTTTCAGTCCATCCTGTACACAAGCCAATGGTGCCTTCAGCTCGCAAAGTGCACATCCGGGAACTGAAGACATGGCTCAGCAGTTAAGAGTGTTCACTACCCACACGGGAGCTCACAACAATCTGTATGGGCTCTGACCCCTCTTCTGCCTCCACAAGTGCCAGGCACACACGTGTGTGGTGTGTATACACAACACACATGTAGGCAAACACACCCGAGTAATAAAGATAAACAATGCTTTTTTAAAGCACAAATCTAACCATGCCCGTCGTGTGCGCTGTCTGCTGTTCTAGCTCACGGGAGGCACTAGCCAGTATTCCGCGGATGAAGGGACAACAAGATGAATGGATGGACGCTGTCAGTTTAGGAGCCTTCGGTGCCTCTGAAGCACCCTTAAGAGGAAGCTTACAGCCTTCAGTTTCACATCCCAGCCCACCATGTCAACTCCCAACTAGACACCTGGCCTTATTCTCTACAGCCCCAGCCCACAGCCCCGAGTGCCCGGTTCCTTCTAGGTAATCGACGGTGGATAGGCAGTCTTTTTTCCCTACAGAAACAGCGACTGGAGAAGCACGCAGACCCTGCTGCCATCCAGAAGCCTATGTCACATCCACAGCAGCTAATGAGCTGTAAATCATTCCCCACCCACCTCCATCCTCCACACTAGCCAGACATGTCCCCTCCCTCATGTCCCACACTCAATCCTTCGCCATGGCCTGTCTACTCCGCCTCCTTAAATAACACTCAAATCCCTTCTCTTCCTCATACCACCACTTTCTATCATCGCTCAACACTGGATATCCCCTCCACAACTCATGTAAAGTCTCACATGAAAATCGAAACCAATCTCTCTGAGTTCGAGGCCAGCCTGGTCTACAGAGGGGTTCCAGGACAGGCTCCAAAGTTACACAGAGAAACCCTGTCTCGAAAGAAACCCAAGAAGAAAAAGCAAATCCAGACCATCCCGTTGGTGCCCAGCCCCCCAGCCATACATTGGGGCACACTCACCGGTCTTACTTGCTTACACCAGTCACTCTTGCTGGGCAGTCAGCACTGAGGGCAGGGCACCAGGGCCTCCGCTCCTTCCTGGACAGAGAGGAAAAGGTGAGAAGACATCAAGAACTTCATCAAGACAAATTATAAATTGACACAGACAGACTTTTGAAACTCACTATTTATGCAGGGAAAAGAAAAGCAGGTTACAGATCTGCGGGTGTAGGACGATCCCGTTTAGTAAAAATACCCAACTGTTACTTCACTGCATTTGCCTGATGCTTCCTGAGCACCTACTATGTGCCTGCCCATCTGTCTACTTCCCTATGCCCATGAGCAACACAGGCCAAGTCTCTAACCATGGCATGGAATCTGGGCCTCAGCCTCACAGTGACCCTGGAGAAGGGCATTCACCCCACCCTACCACTCGGGCCGCACCTGCTGGGTTCTCCCCTCACTACCAGCCACAAGCCCATTCTCTTCCGATCTCCAAGTGTGCCGTTTTCTCCTGTCTCCCAGCCTTGCCCATGATGCGTGTTACCGCCTAAAACGGGCTACCTATATGCTTCTGACCAGTTACCACTCAGACTTCAGATCCAACAGCACTTCTCAAGTAAGCTTACCATGACATGGCCAACTACATGCCTGGACTTTGCCTCGAAGCAGTGACCACAAACGTATTTATGTACTTACATGACTCCGCGTCACTATAATAAGCTCAGTAAACACATGGGGCACACCTGCCTGGCTCAACTTACTATGCCCAGTGCCCAGCAGGAACCCAGCACACAGTAGGTGCTCAGTCAACACATGGTGAGGACGTGAGTTCACAGGAAACAGCCCAGTCAAGACATGCTCCAGCACATACACCAGCCTTCAAAGACGCTTCAGGAACAATATTTATTTTTGACTTTCTGCTTCTCTATAATTTTTAAAATGAAGGTGTGCCCCTGGATGCCTCCTCCGCTGGCACACACAGCGCGTCAGAGCCCTGCCCCTTCCTTCTAAAACCATTACTGAGCTCTCTCTAGCATGCGAATGGTCTGGGGGGAGGGGGCAGGGTTTAGTCACGCCCACATCACCTCATTACTCCATCAGCTACCCTGCTGGTGCCCACTTGAAGCGTGCTGCAAGCCCACTTAGGGCTCCTTCTGGGCCTCACCCCACACTCACAGCCATGTTCATCCTAGTCCTGCCACTGCACCTCTTCCCCAAACAGGAAACTGGGGGAGCTGGTACATCCTACCGACCGAGGCCCGACGTTCCCCACATCCACAGACTAACCTCCACGCCAGGGAATCGTCCTCACTTTAACTTCTTTTGGATTAATTTGATGTGTATGAGTGCTTTGCCTGTGTGTATGTATATATGTGTACCATCTGTGCACACGTATGGTACCCAAATTCAGAAGAGGGCATCAGACTCCTGGAACTGGAGTTATAGATGGTTGTGAGCCACCGTGTGGGTGCTAGGAACCAAACCCAGGACAGCTGCAAGAGCAGCCAATGCTCTTAACTGCTAAGTCACCTCTCTAGCCCTTTGTCCTTACTTTAGACTTGTCAGTCACCTTTGGAAAGTTAGGGAGTCTTCTTCGGGAAAAAGCCACTGACTCACCCAAGGTTTCACCAGACCCACCCACCCTGGCCAGATCAGAACCAAAGGCTCTGGTCCTCAGGATGTCAGTATGTGCTCTTACCCCCGTCCACTACATTTCTCCACAACATTTCTCCACAGCATTCCCAGTGGCCGCTGCTTCAGGCTGCCAAGCAGGTCTGGCCAGAGAAACCGGCTTCCGTGTTGCAAACTCAAAGGCCCGTTTGTCTGGAGATGCCCGCCCAGCCTCACAATGCCTGACATGCGGCTGTTAGCTCCACCGTTGCTCAGGAACCCAGGCAGAGGGGTAGTGTTCAAAGCAATGGTGTCACACCCAAGGCCATGCCAGCAGCACTGGGCCTCCTGTCTGATGGCTGGGACGGGCCCTATCTAAAGTAGAATCCATATCTGAAGAAAGGCATATATCCAAAACGGCCATGAAGTAGGTCTCAGAAACACAGGACGCCGAGGCTGCCAAGACTCCCCCAAGGAACACAAAACAGTCCAAGGCAGTATTCTAGAACAGTACTCTGGATCACACCAGTCCAGGATCAAAAAGCCCCAACACAGCCTATCAAGTCACCATCAGATAAACCACCAACAGCCCTCAGAATCACTCCAGACACACAAGGAGACAAAACCTAGACCAGTCGGGATGGCCAGGTACCCAGAGAACAAACTGGCATTGATACCTAGAAGGCAGACTGGATAGCTGCTCAGTCAGGGCCTAATTGGATAGGATTTCAGTGAGGGTTCACCCTGGGCACAATACCCAGAAGGGTCTCAGACCAGGCTTCGGGAACAGCCGTGACCAAGATCACGTAGAAGGCCCTTGCACCATCCTGGCTGGCCTGGCCCCAGCAGGGCTCTGCGTCACCTGCCAGGCCGAAGCCCGGCCCACCAGTGGGACCAGGAGGAGCAAGTAGAAGCCCAGGGCACAGGCACAGATTGAAGCAACCTCCGGGCAGCCCTGGGGCAGCACCACAAACAGCCCCCAGAAGCGACAGACAGTGCACAGCCAAGGAAATAAACGCAGAGTTCTCAGACCCAAAGGCCCAGTGCATCTGCTGCATCTGGGCCTCGGAGGCAAAAGCAAAACAAAGACTTTTGGGAGAAGTGGGACACTAAACCAGAGATTGCCCTTTCTCAGAATCCCCTCCTATCCACTTGAAGAGCTCTCTCCTCCGGGGCCCCTTCTCGGTCTTCTCAGGCCTACCTGCACCCTGAAGGTCAAATACACTGGTGCAACACAGTTGTGTCAGTGAAGATGAGGCTGGGGGACAAGATGCCCCCGCCTGGTTGAGCATCCCACCTGTAAAGGCACAGCTTGGAGCAGCAGCTACTGCAGGCAGGTGCCTCTGCCTGGACAGTACACGTTTCCAAAGACAACTCTGTGACGTGGTGCTTCTCATGAAGGAGTGTATTTTCACCACTTTTACCAATGATGTTAAAACAACTGCAACCACCAAGGGATGATACAACATGTGAGGCCCTGTCCCAAACGCATTGTGTTTATCTTTAATCCCCTAACAACCCTATGAGGCATGGTGTTTATCATACTCATTTGAGAAATGGGGTCCAGAGGTGGTTAGCAAATTGTTCAAGGTCAAGTCAAACTCCAGTTCATAATCAAAGTCAGCCTTTGGCTACTGCTGACAGCTGTCTTCCCTGAGAACACAGCTCCTGGCTCCACTGTAATTCCTGATGTCCTCTGGCTTATACTCGAGCTTCACGTTAAAGCCCTTCTCTAAAACCCAAGTGCCTCGCAGACAGCACATGAGGCCTGAGTTCACCATTTATCTGGTTTGGCCTTTCCTCCCCAGGTCCCTAGCTCAGGCCTTCGGTGAAGCCTGGCCCTTCCTCTTCCTCCCCTCCCCTCCCACAAACCACCCTGTCCTACCAAATGTGCTTTCTCCCTGCCAAGCTGCCTTTCTCTCTCCTGACTCTCTGCTCGCAGCATCTCCTTGCTAGGAAACCTGCCTCCACCCAGAACTTTTCGTAGCCCAGAACCATCTTCCAGTGAAGAAATCTGACTGTAGCATGACCCACAGGCTCCACCCAAACTTAAGTCATGGATGTCTGGGCTTTCAAAAGTCCTGGGTACCTCAAAGAACATCCGGGGCTCTGTGAGCTGCTGCTGTATCTCTCAACACACCACAAGTGATAACATCTCCCAATCTTTACTCAGACTTTCTAATTTTTTTAATTAACTAATTAATTCTGCAGCGCTGGGAACTGAGTCCAGGGCCTCAGGCATGCTAGGTCAGGGCTCTCCTGCGGCATTATCTATCTCCAGTACTGCTCGTATCGTTTTAATTTTTTCCCCCTTCATCTGCAGCACCCTTTCTCTTTTTCAACTGGCAAACTCCTACTGACCCGTCTAAGCCCACTTCAGAGAGCCCTTTCTCAGTCTCCTCTGAGAATCATCCCACCCTGTCTGTACCTGCAACTCTCCGGTCTCACAGGGACTCCTCCAATCGTCTAACCTCAGCTTGGAACGGCAGTTGCTCTATGTGGCTAACGCGCCCACCTCAGCAGCTGCTAAGAGACAAGCTTCCTTTTCTGCACAGCTGTTAGTCCCACAGGAAGCCAGACTGCCAGGCCAAAAGTGCCTAACCCTGTGCCTGGCATACAGTCAGCAATCAATAATAGGCTACTGACTCCCTTTTGCATTCCCACGAAGTGACTGCCACTGCTGACTTGCACAGCCAGCCACACGGTTCTCTTGGCTTCTCGAAGCAGCCTGGGGCCCACCTACACTTGACTACCAGTCCCATTCTGCGGGAACTAAAGCTGAGGCCTCCGTGCTGTACAAGCTGGAGCATACAAGTTGTTTAGGTCTGGGGGCTCCCTCTCCCACTGAGGACCTCAGAGTGACTCCCAGTGCAGGTGGCCGGGAGAAGTACAGAGGAAGCACAACCCAGCAGGGACAGCAGCTTGCTGCACATCAAAACAATTCCCAGGGAAGGGTGTTCGGCCAGTGTACCCTTGCTGCAGCCCACCGTGCCTCCCAGCAAACCGCTTCCCCAGCACCCAGAACTATGGAAAAGAACTCCTCTTCCCATGGCCCTAAACGCAGGAGGCTGGCCAGGGGGCGTGGTGGGGGTGTCCCCAGCTGCAGGAGAAGGGAATCACTAGAACTGTCCTCACGAAAGAAGGGAGGAGTAACTCAAGGAAAACAAAACCATGAAGAAACTCAACTAGAACGCATAAGGAAGGCCGGAGACTGAGAGTGCAGGTGCACAGGTGTGCGTGTGCGTGTGCGTGTGCGTGTGTGTGTGTGTGCAAGCACAGCAGGCTTCTGCAGGGGGCTCCTTGCAGGGACGCTGAAGTGCACCGGAAGAATGGAGGGTGGGCTGAGGGTGAAGGAGGGGCCTAGGGTGTGTGGCCTGAGCCCTGGCTGAGAACGAAGGGTGTTCCTGAGCAGTCGTTGAAGCCCTAGGCAGATTCATACCTTCAGTAAACACAGGGATTTTCACACTCCCCGAAGCAAGAGTTCATAAGGAGCCACACAGAACCCCTCAGATTTCCTGCCAGACCTCTCCTCTGGATCCTATCAAATTCCTGGTGCCTCCCAAAGATTCCCACACTGGGCTCTTCACCACAAAACACTTCCCTGCCAGAGCCAGCACCAGGTCACTCAGGATGCCACTCTTGTCCCTTCAGAAGCAGAAGCGGAACCTTCCTCAACAACCCTTGGTCATCAGCATCCCCAAGCCCAGCCTGGCTGCTCTCAGGGTGGTCCTCCCTCCCATGCCACAGCTAGGGGCAGGTAGGGCTCCCATTCCACCGGCTCCAACGCAGGGGCCCTGCAGAGGGAGGGGTGAAATGGGGAGAAGGACCAGCCCCTCCCCCTCCTGGGGTAGAAGAACCAGAGGGGCCGCATTCCAGAGAAGTGGGGGAGGGGGCCTGACAGAGGGGGATACAGAGACACCCAAGGAAGGAGCTCCAGAGACATGGAGGCACAGAGACTCAGGGAGAAGGAGCAGGGACACCCGGGGAGAGAGAACACGGAGACCCAGGGAGAAGGAACACGGAGACCCGGGGAGAGGGAACACAGAGACCTGGGGAGAGAGGACAGGGAGACCCAAGGAGGAGAACCCGATGCACTGGGCGAGAACACGGGGACTGGGAAGGAAGAGAGACCCACAGCTGGGCACGCTGGGACCGCAGGGAGTGAGATCTGGAGGCAGTGAGCGACAGGGAGACAGAGACAGCTAGGGAAACTGAGAAAGACGCCGAGGGGAAGACGCGGGCGCAGAGACTGGGGACCGGGCACACCCGGACGGGACGGGACCGGGCGGGACGCCGGGAGGCGACTGAGTGAACTTTCGGAGCGGGTCCGAGCGCACCCGCCCTCCCGGGACGAGTGGCTCCGGGGCCTCGGAGGCGCCGCTCGGGGTGGGGGTTGGGACCGCCCGCAAGGTCCCTCCCCGGCCCGCGCTCCGCACGGGGCAGACCAGGAGAGGGGGGGCTCCCAACTCGCGCCCCGCGCATCCCGGGGCCGCACGTGCGCCCAGTCGCCCGCGAGACCCGGCGTCGGCTGCGGCTCTTCCGCCGGCGGGGAGGGGGCGCCGTGGGACGGGGAGGCGGCCTGGACCCGCCCGGAGCCGGCGGGGGAGGCTGGAGGCCGCCCCCGGAGCGCGACCGCAGCGGGTGGGGGACCGGGCGCCCACCGGCGCGGGGAAACTTTGCACGGGGGGTGCGGGCTGCGGCTCAGGTGCGGCGGGGGCTCGGCCGAGATCGCGGGCGCGGCAGGTGGGGGCGCGGCCCAGCCTCCCGGCGCCCCCGGGCCCGCCCCCGGCTCCGCTCCACGGACGCGGGGGCAGGGCGGGGACGGCGCGGTAGGGCCGCGCACCGAGGGGCCCGAAGGGGGCTCGGGGGCCACTCACCGCCTCTCCGGGGGCCGTCGGTCTGCATGTCCCCCCTCGAGCCGCTGAGGCCGCCGCTTCCAGTCCGCCGCTTCCCCCGTCGCCCGCTCCCGCCACCGCCACCGCCGCCCGAGCCCGAGCTGGAGCCGGAGCCGGAGCCGGAGCCGCCGCCTCTGCCGCCGCCGCCGCCACCGCTCCCGCCGCTCCCGCGCCAGCTCCAGCCGCGCGCGCCCGCCCGCCCGCTCCCGTGTCCCTGCCCCTGCCGTGCGCGTCCCCGGCGCCGCCCCTCCCCTCGTGCACTCTCGCTTGTAGAGGAGTGAAGCCGTAGGCCCAACGAGGCTGCAGACCAACCCCAAGTCTAAACCGACTGCAACGCCAAGATTGAGCTTAAACCTCAGTAAGCGAGCGTGGATAGACCCAAACTCCGACACAAGTCCAGACCCTCCCAAACCCTCACGTGAGCCTAATACTTCTCTAGGGTCCCCTGCCCCCAATACAGATGTAAATCTGATACTCAGCCCAGAGCCACCTTTGAACCAAACGTGAGATCCAGACCCCTAGATTTGCCTAGCAACCAGAACAAGTAGTAATTTTTATCTGTATTTTCTCCGGTTAGAGATTCTAACCCTAAATGGCTTCTTCCTGACCGGGTCCCTAAATAAAATTTCACTGGTTTATTTCCATCCCAGATATGTACATTTCCTGACTGGGATTCTCAGTTTTGTACAAAATATTTATTTGTTATTCATTTCTTTGTTTGTGTGTGGATGTGTGCGCGCACATGCACACGCGCTCGCAAGTGTTGGTGGAGGCCTGACAGGGCTTCAGATCGAGCAACCCCGTGTGGGTGCTGGGAACCTGACCCAGGTCCTCTGCAACATCAAGTGTGCTCAACTGCTGAGCCTCCTCTCCAACCCTGGAACTGTCAATAGCAAAATCGGGACTAGTTCACCATAAGAGGGAAACAAAAAACACCCTAAGACAGACGCTGACCTCAACACACCTCCCTGCCTTTGTGGTCATTTAGTACAAGGACCTGATCCAACTCCACTCACTGGGCAACCCAAGATAGGACTGGCTTCGTGGAACTCCGCACTTTTTCCCCTGCTCTGACCTGAAGTCGGCCCCACCCAGAGACTGACCAACACCCCAGTTTCTACGCTAGTTCTAGTAGGTATAAATTGATTGCTGGTCTTAAGACCCAGGTCCAACATAAACCTTAGCACTGAATTTCAGACTCCTTGTCTCCAGCCAACCCAAGCCTGCCCGGTCTCACCTGAGTTTCATATCACTCATACCAAACTCAAATGCATGAGACACCAAGTCCAGTGTGTGCCGTACTGAGGGTTGCTCTGGATTCAATATCCTACCTGAAGATTTATACTCCTAGCGGTGCTTGTAAGGGCTTGGGGATCTCCAGACAAGAGCCAACATTGGCACCAGCGCCTTCAGGCTCCTCATGCCCTGTCTGGGCCATACTACTATCATTTAGAAAGTATTCAAAGGCCATACGAGCTCTCAATTGTTCCCAATCCCAGTCGGGCGTTGGTGGCAGACACCTTTAATCCCAGCACTCGGGAGGCAGAGGTAGGTGTATCTCTGTGAGTTCGAGTCCAGCCTGGTCTACAGAGCGAGTTCCAGGACAGCCTCCAAAACAATGCAGAGAAACCCTGTCTTCAAAAACAAAAACAGAAACTGTTCCCAATCCCACCCTCAGTGCCCTGGGTCAGATAAGACCCTTTTGTGAGGGCTCTGATTTTCCTATGAGTTTAGAACCAAATGAGAAACAGAAACAAGAATTGGAGACTATTGGGGCTCCTACATGCTGATATCTCAGCTGGGTTTAGGGAAATGAGTTGAGGGATCAAGTTCAGGCTAACACCTAATTCCCAGCCTGCTTTTGTCTTGGACCTGTATTCACAAGCAGTGCGAGTGCGCCCCCTGGTGTTTGGAAAGACAATAAGCCTGGCTCCAGTGAATCTGGGCAATTTGGCCCAGATGACAAATAGATCAAAAATGAATACTCCTAAGGCAGTGGTTTTTCACCCACGGGTAATTTTGTTGTGCTGTGGGAGAACTGATGCAATTTTATGCATCTTTAAATATATTTTGTCTGTTTTTCGGAACTTTGACTGTTTAGTCCCCCAACTTTAAAACGTATAATTTTCGGCTTGCTTTTCGCTGACTTCTGGAAACAGTTCTTTCCCTTGGCTTTCCTGGCTCACACTGTCCTTCGTGGCTACTGGCTATTCAATTACTTTGCTGTGTCTCTTCATTTCCAGGGCTCTGTACTGGACTTCCCCTTCTCCTGACTCCTTCCACCCCTTGGTCCTCTTGTGCCGAGAGCCTTCTCCGTGACACTTCTTAGTTGTACCCCAGATAGTGAGAATTCCCATCTCTCCATCTCATGTCCCCATTCATCTCCGGCAAGGGCCTCAGTCACTGGTCCAGAAATACATTCCCAATTGATCATTAGTCCTATACACTGAGAGAGAGAGGGAGAGGGAGAGAGAGAGAGAGGATGGGGAAGAGACTGACTGGTTGTTTTTAACTTTTACATTAACTCACACATAACCAAACTTGACATAAGCAGCTTACACACCATTATATGTCCATACCCGCCTCTCCAGACTTGCTGCACCTGGAGTGTCATACTTGTTAAGGACCCTGGCTTCTTCCAGGAAGCCACGCCTAAGCCTTGGGCTGGGTTAGTGAATTATCTCCATTAAGTAATCACAGTCTACATCTGTATGTGTTTCCTTCATCTGAGACTGTAGATTCTTCAAGGGAAGGTGGGATGAGTCTGCTTCTTTTCACTGCCTTATTCCAGTGGCCAGCAAGGGGACCTGACACTCAGCAGGCGCCTGGTATATATTTATTAAAAGAATGAAGATATATTTTTCCCCCTTCTGTTTACAAGGAGCCCCCAGATGTGGATGACCAGGTGTAGAAAGAGTCCCCTCACCAGGGCTCAGACCTCCACACCTCAGTCTTCGTAGGCCTGGCATCTACGGGAAGAGGGGCTCGTGCCCTCTGTCTTTTCAGTTTACCATCTTGGGTGTCCATGTGAGGGAGGCCTGTCTGATGGCCCTGCACATCTCCCAGTTTCATGAGTGACACACACAAGGTAGGAAGATGGGAGTCCTGCCCCACCCCTTCCCCGTGGCTACTGGCACAGACCCCTTCACTATTAAGCCGACTAGGCTTTAGGCCTGTGCTTTGACTCCTTCAGAAGACTATTCTGAGGCACCACAGGCATCTCAGCATCTCAAGCTACTACTGGTCTCTACCCCATTTCTCCTCCATCTGTCGGTCCCCAATTGTTACAGTAAGCATGAAGGCAGAACAGAGGATTTCTGGAACTCCCATGTTCTGACCTCAGTCTGTGTAGTACATGCAACTGCACAGAAACTCCAGGAAATGAAACCAGAGACTCAGGGCCTGAGGCTGGCCACATGATGAGAGGAAAAAAAAAAAATTCTCAGGTGGCCGGGCCTAGATGGCGCATAAAGAAAAACAAAGCCAGGGCTCAGACCAGATTGCCAAACTCTGAGCACAGCGTCTGTGTGGACCTGCCCCGCTGACCTGCTCCTAGCCCTGGAAGGGAGGCTTGTCCTTGTGCTCTTATGTGAAGGCCAAGCGATGTCTCGTGGTATCTCTGCGCCTGCCGTGTTCCAGCCCCAGGGTGCAGGGTGAGGGAAGCGCCAGATGTCATTCCCACTCCCTACTCACCCTTTGTCCAGAGCCTCGACCCACTGGATGCGCCTCAAATTCATGACGTCAGTACATCTCTTAGTTGGTTGAAATCAAATTATATTCATCATGAGTACCCCCTCCCCACCAGATCATCAGGAGTTCTGTTGTCTCTCACAGCTGTCTTAGCCTCTCCTTGCCAAAAGTTCAAGAATTCTGGGTGTTTGCACAGCCCCAGAGTTGGTGAGTCTGTGATCCTGAGCGTGCAGGGGGAGATTTAAAACAGACACATAAACACTAACCATCACTGTAATGGGGTATCCACTATTCACCCCGCCCCATCTACAAGGCCTCACTTAGCCGCCCACACGCTTGTTCGTGCCAAGCTCTTTCAGAGCAGCTCCTCCTATAGACTCTTCACAAGGCTGCAGCCTTTGGCTCGTGGCAATGTCAGTCACCCACAGCCACTTTCCTGGGGCCGAGGGTAGACAATGCTGTTTACCTACCTCCTGCATCTGGATGGTCAGTTCTCCCCCGGCCACACTGCTGTCCTTTCTCAGATGTCAGGAAGAGCTCAGAGGCCAGAGCTACCAGCTCGCCAGCTCACCTTCCCAGATACAGATGGGAGAGAAAGGCTGAGGCCCTAGAACACAAAGCCTGGCTAATGTCTTTCTTCCTTGCCAGTGAGTCACTGTGGTGGGGGCATGATACAGGAGCTAATTTCTCAATGGAACAAGCTGCTGATGACCTCACCCAGCAGGATCCCCTAATGTCCTTATCACCAAGTGAAGCCACCCACAACTGCTCTTTCCTGTCCATGCCTTCGGCTTCGAGGGGACCGGCAGTGACTGTCTCGAGGAGCCTGACTCTTCCTTTCACTGCATCCTCTTAGCTACACCCTGTCCTTTGGCATGTCCAAGCCTCCCCTCCCCCCAACAAAACTTCCCTCCCTCCAGCCCACACGCCCCTCCAGAGTGGGGGAGACTGGGGTACTTCTCCGCTCCTCTTCCCAGCAAACGCATTCTTCCATCTCTTGCTCGCTCCTGGGTCCACTGCAGCCCAGGTTTAGATGGTCATTCCACTAACTTCACAGCCACTGTGTGTGTGTGTGTGTGTGTGTGTGTGTGTGTGTGTGTGTGTGTGTGTGTGAGAGAGAGAGAGAGAGAGAGAGAGAGAGAGATATGGGCGTACAACCCATGCATGGATGGGAATGCAGGTGAGCACGTGGAACAGAGGAGAGCCGCAAGGGTCTGTCCTGGCCTTCTCTGAGACTGTCTCCTGTTGTCCACCACTGTATGTGACAGACTAGCTGCCCTATACGCTTTTGGGGATTCTCCTGTCGCCACTTCTCATCTTGCCACCGCGGCATCCGGCATTATACAGACTCCCTAGTCCTAATAATGACAGCCTGGAATTTGCAAAGGTCATTGGCTGTGCCTCCATGTTCAGCCTGATGGACTTCCCA